CTAGTCATCTTATATGTCATGGTCTTTGAATATAAAAAATAAATGTATTCATGGTCTAAGGAAAATTGTTATTATATAAATGTATAAAGCTGATTGGGGAATCTAATGTTATTCATTATTTATTCACGCTCAATTCAACTATTCAATTATTAGTAATTGTACAACTACTCAGTCACAGAAATTCTGATAATAATATGTACAGTACTGTACATTGATAACCAGAAAACTCAGAGTATGAAGTTGACTTTAAACTCAAGAATTATGACTTTGAACAGGCCAATGTAAATGAGACAAAGCAATTGTGCAGTGTAAACAGAACCCATCAAGTTCATTGCAGTATTGCTTTAATGTCGTCTTCCAACTCTACAGTTTTCCGGTTTTCTCAGTACACTGTGCACAGAAATTAGAATAATAATACAAGGTGTCTCTGAAAAAACTGTTCTTACGAATTTTAGCCTGCAAAACATCGTTTCCAAAGATTTTCAAAAAATTTAGATTATAATTTTATTTTTACGTTTTATACAACAGAACAAAATAAATTGAGCATTTTCAATGACAGACTTAAGGATTTTTAAAAATGAATGAGGAAAAAAGATTTTTGAATTTTTTGAAAATCTGTGGAAAAGGTGACCAAGTACATTTCGAGTACAGTTGCAGACTAAAACGGCATTTTAGAGTAAAATTTGTCAACCCCTCCCCCCTCCCCAAGTACAGGTATTGTACCTGCTATTGACACTTTAAAACCACGTTTAGTGGGTGAAAAAGCAATTAACATCTTCGGAGATGGGACCGAGCACATTTTCCAATATTAGACCTAATCTTAAAGTAGAAGGAAGGAATAGTTCAGTTCTAAGGTTCGTTTATATGTTTACATGACACTTACAGTATACAATACCATCACACGCAATTATTAGTTTATTAACCTAATATCTAAAGACCGTGTCAATTAGAAAATCCGCGAAATTAACAAACCGTTATACACAATTATTTTCAAGCAAATCAGGACACCTTTTCTTTCACGTACATTCCTTCCAAATTTCAAAAAGGACAGTAACGTAAATTCAAGTCACCCACCCTGCTCCAATTTACAACAATACCCATAAAAGCTTTGTCTGATCAACTATGAATTAGGTCTCCAGGTTTTTGTTCATTTAAACTTTTACTTTGGCGCATTTCTAGCTTACAAGCTGCATTATCAGTGTTAAAAACGTTTCAAGTGAGGTATATTCGACATTTTTCATATCAGATTAAGGTTTCAAGGGTACCAATGTAAATCAGACATTGACATCTTTACTTGAAATTACACTTACAGTTCTTTTAAAAATCCATGTATAAATAATTTTTAGGTTTATTTCAAGAGTTTGCGATTATAAATTCTAATATTAAAACCTTACATGCGTGAAAATTGTTCAATAATAGCTTGAATTTAAGATTTTGTTGAAACATCAGAAAGTTTTGAATGATTAAATCATTTAGATATCTGTCCGAGGAAAAAAGAAAAATGCAGAAAATACATTATTGTACTTTTTTGAGCTTCGAGATATTTTAGGCTTAGTTTCCCGGTAAAATCGGTCAATATTGCGGGTAAACGGTTGATGTAACTATATATAAGAGTAACCTGGGCAACGCTGGGTTTTCAAGCTAGTATATTTATATAGCAGTTATCTCTGTTTGCTTCCTTGTTAGTCCAATCATAACCCGTTTAACCGATTTGTCTCAAATTTTGATTACTGTAGAACACTCCTGTAAGCCGAGTTTTAGCACCTGATTTAATTAGGGTTCAGTCATGAGTTTGTTGTCTATTCTGAACCAATAGAAATAGTATGGCGGTAACATCTATCTTTCTATCTATCTCATTATCTAATTAGAGATATGAATCCTTCAATTGGCGCTATCAGTAAATGGAAATATTTACTTCAACTGAAACTATGGTGAGAACCACGGGAATGTTTTTAGCTAGGTTTAAAAGTTCTTAGTTGAATAGATTGACCCTTATAAAGAAAACTTTGTTTTAAGGCAAAGCTGGGTTTCCAAGCTATAGTATATTTATCTATATATAAAGATAGTTGTAATCTCTGTTTGTCTGTCTGTCTGTTTGTTTGACCGATCATAACTCAGAAACCCATTGACCGAATTGCCTAAAATTTGGTTAGGGAAATCAGGAGAGCCACGGTAATGTTTGAGATTCTAAGTTGAGTGGGTCGACTTTAATAGCGAAAATTTTGTTTCCCGGTAAATTCGTCCAAGCGCGGATAAACGGCGGGAGTAACTATGATGAACCTAGGCAAAGCTGAGTTCCCAAGCTAGTTGTATATATAGAAGTAATTTCTTTTTGTCTTTTTGTCAATGTAGTTTCAGTAGAAGTAAATATTTCCATTTACTGATATAGCGCCGATTGAAGGATTCATATCTCTAATTGGATAATGAGATAGATAGAAAGATAGATGTTACCGCCATACTATTTCTATTGGTTCAGAATAGACACCAAACTCATGACTGAACCCTGATTGGATCAGGCGCTAATGGACTCGGCATACAGGAGTGTTGTATGTCCAAACATGACTTTTGAACCTCTGTATTGGATAGGTCTGGAGAACTACGGTTTAGCTTGTTTTAAAAGTTTTAAGTTAAGTGAGTTGACTTTTCAGCGAAGGTTCAGTTTCCATGTAAAGCTGGATTCCCAAGGTAAAGTCAAATCTTTTATATAATAAAGCTCATATATTGTTAATTTAAATATATCAGCTGTAGCTGGCCAAACATCTGGACCAAATTTGCTGACATTTTTTAGGGAACCCATGGGTTAAAATCAAATTTGTTTTTCAAAAATATATTTTTTTTAATTATTCGAAATATTTTTTTATTTCATGGGCAACGCCGGGCTTTGCAGGTAGTATAATAATAAAACCCTAAGCTTGAATTTGCAAACATATTCTGCATGGTTGCATATTTTGCAAATCCTAATACCGGGGGGGGGATATAGCGGGATTATTTCGCGTGAAATAAACAAATTGGTCAAATGTTAACACTTCGTTCTAGACACTCAACCAGGTAACATTATTACAAGCCTGTGTCATGTTAAAGGGAGTGTTCTAGACACTCAACCAGGTAACATTATTACAAGCCTGTGTCATGTTTAAAGGGAGTGTTCTGGACACTCAACCAGGTAACATTATTACAAGCCTGTGTCATGTTTAAAGGGACGTTAAGCGTAATATCAAATGACCCTTCAGGCTAAAATGTCCGATTCACAACCGTATCCTTGGAACCTTTATTTAATCAGTAATTTGGAATATATACTTTCTATCTTCTTGATTTTAAAGTTTTTAATTTAGACAATTATGTACCTTCCTGCAGTCGTAGAAATGCTCAAGTCAGCTTGGAGAGAGACCCCAATTGAAAATAATTAGTTTTTTAAATTATAAACATTGACATCTATATTTCATACTTGAAATAACAAAGCTTTTAAGGGTATGGTTGTGAATCAGGCATTGCCATCTTTGCAGGGAGAATCCCTTGAAAATACGCTTAAATTCCTTATTAAAGAGAGTATATGGCAAGGTACTAAAGCAATGAAAGTTAATTACAGTTGCGTATACTCTGCGTATATATTGAAACCAGTTCTCTTTGAACGGGATTTGTAAACAAGAATAGATGAATCAGTGTTCGTTTGGTATCAGAGGAGGTTAAAAGGATTAAATTTTGATAACTTTGATAATTAACATAATAGTTTCCTGTGACCAGAATATTTCATTGATTTTTTTATGTGAAAGATGGATCCCATGTCAGGCTTCGACATTCGTCTTGTGTTTACATTACCGCCCAGTGACAGTACACTGCAGTACAAAAGATGCGTACACCTCTGAAATAAATTTCCTTGCATTATAACCTACTCTTTTGAAATGATATCTACCTTTGTAGAGAACAAAAGAATCAAACAATTGAAAAAAAAATTCATCCTTGATCAGACAAAGGTTTTAAGGGTACTTTGGTTAATAAGACATGCTACTCTGAGACTTGAACTATATGTACAGTCCCTTAAACTATATGTACAGTCCCTTAAACTATGTGTACAGTCCCTTAAACTATCCTTAAACTATATGTACAGTCCCTTAAACTATATGTACAGTCCCTTAAACTATGTGTACAGTCCCTTAAACTATGTGTACAGTCCCTTAAACTATATGTACAGTCCCTTAAGTCCCCTAAACTACATGTACAGTCCCTTAAACTATATGTACAGTCCCTTAAACTATGTGTACAGTCCCTTAAACTATGTGTGCAGTCCCTTAAACTATGTGTACAGTCCCTTAAACTATGTGTACAGTCCCTTAAAGGGAGTATTCGCGAAAAATGAAAGGGGGTATAGGCTTAATGCGATAAAAAAACGCTTTTGATCGCTACTAATCTTACTTCTATCTGTTGCGTCTATCAGGAGAAAATTGTTAAAGACGTCTCATACCGAAGAGAGGAGCGGCCATACAAATTGACGGTAAACTGATGGTAATGAAGACGACATTTTCATATTTTCCAGGAATGTTCGGAAACAAGTTTTAAGCTAAATATTATTTTAAAAAACAAAATCAAAACTCGTATGAAATATTAAATATAAAAAAAATGTGGCGAAAGATATTCGATGACTATAGGTTGTAATATCTGAATGATTTGTTTGATATTAATTTGATTTTTTTACGGTCAATTTGTATGGCCGTAAATGAAAATTGTTGCATACAAAAAAACCCAGCTTTTTATAAAGGAATGTTATTTTTGAATTACAAAAGTCAATTTTCGGATTGTGTGTGGGCCTCAAAGCATATTTGTTGGGACTTTTGAATAAAAAATTTTCCTACTATAGTATTTTATGGTATTTATCTGACCGACCAAATCTTGTTTTTTTGGGACCATTTGAATTCAGATACATTTTTTGGACCCAATCAGTTTAGCCATTCTTTGAGAATATCCAAACAATAGATAATGCAATATATTCTCTTTAAAATTTACAATAACGCTAAACTTGATTCTAGGTAATTCTGAAAGCTATGATGCTGCTACTATTGTTGGCTATGGTGATGTGCTTCCCAAGGGGTATGTTGGCTCAGCCAGAAGCCGGAGAGATGCAAGGTCCTATTGTTGGTGAGAAGCCAGAAGCCGGAGAGATGCAAGGTCCTATTGTTGATGAGAAGCCAGAAGCCGGGGAGATGCAAGGTCCTATTGTTGGTGAGAAGCCAAAAGCCGGAGAGATGCAAGGTCATATTGTTGGTGAGAAGCCAGCTAATAATTCTGCAGGGTGGAACAGGAAAGAGCGTATTTTTTCATTGTTTAATATCGTTCAATTTCCTAATTTGGCGTGCAATAGCTTGGATACAGTATTTCCCGTTGGAACCTGTTTTACAACCAGTGAGTGCACTTCTAAAGGCGGAACAACGAGTGGCAGCTGCGCAGCGGGGTTTGGTGTCTGCTGTCTATTCAAATCCTCGACATGTGGGGGCACATTCAGTAACAACATGACTTACATTACCAATCCGGGGTTCCCAGCTACATTCAATACCGCAGGCACCTGCACATTTACGGTTAACAAATGTCAAGCGGATATTTGTCAGCTTCGACTGGATTTTCTAACATCTGTTCAAGGAGTTTCCGCTAATACTCAAGGATGTTGTGGGGCTGGATGCACAACAGCTGCTGATTCTTTAACTGTGACTGGTCAGACCGGAGTAAATCCGCCTGTAATCTGTGGTACCAACACAGGAGAGCATATGTACGTTGAGGTTGGATCTCTTGCAGCGGATAGTGTTAGCCTGGCCTTCTCCGTGGCTGGGACAACAAATGATCAATGGAATATTAGAGTGTCTCAGATTCCTTGCAGTGCTAATTACAGAGCACCAACCAACTGTGTGAAATACTTCACTGGAAGTTCTGGAACTGTGACTAGCTACGGATTTACTGGGAACACTTTGCTTCAAAGCCAAAACTATGATTCCTGTATTAGGCAAGAGGCAGGATTTTGTTCTATCCAGTGGGATGAAAGCACAGTTACAGCTCCAGCAGATCCTTTTGATTTGACAGGTGCACAAGCTGCAGGAGCAGCTGAAAATATCATATGTGCCAACTCCTTCATCCATATTCCAAATGGATTCATTGCTCCTGCCGCTGTTACTACAGCTGCTGGCAATACTGATGGTGCAGCAACTCCTGTTTTTCCAAGTCCTGCTTTGGAATTTTGTGGTGAAGTTTTAGGGCTTTTTGAAGCTGGTGCAGCAGGAGTCATAGGTGTCACTGCTTCTAGTGTTACAACATCAACCTTACCATTTTCTCTATCTACGTTCACAACCGCAGTAGCTTTAAACGATCAAGGTGGTAATGCAGCTCAAGGATACTCCTTGGATTATACCCAACAAGCATGCTGATTAAACAAAGGAGTATTAACTTCTGTAGTGCGTACAAATCGGAACACATTATCTTTCCCAATCAGGTGTTAGACAAAAAGCTGTTAAACGTCACAAGTTCAGAGGATATTTACTGACCCAACAGTAGGTCAGTTGTATGTATTGCACATTGCACAATGCACAATCCAATCAAGGCCTAAAGTTTCCTCATAATTGAAATTTCAAAAGCTTTTCTAAGATTTTGTTAGCAATTTTTAACAAAATGTATATATTTATTTGAACAGTGTTTAGAAGAATCAATTTTTTATATTATATATCTACACAATCAATTTTAAAGGTCTGACTTTTGTTTACAATCTTTGTTATTGTTTTGATAAAACTAGTTCCAAATATGTCACAGCCAAGTGTGTACACTGTACACACACCCTATCTCCCCTACCGTTAGTTTACATACCTTAGCTCTAGTTGAATTAACTCTGAGTTTTTCTTACAATAACATCCATTTCTTTAGTTAAGGAATTAATATCAATTGTACTGTTATTAATTATTATAATTTTCTTATCGTTCAAGTTTAAATCTCACATTGAAATAAACAATGCACTTTTTAAATTGTTCATATTTTAATATTTTAATAGACAAGAGTGAAAACGTAATAGTTATGTTAAGTGAGAGTAAAAATTATAAAGGATTAACCGTAAAAGTTCACAGGCAGCCGTAGTACATTTGAATTTCCTAGTTGGATCAACCTTTTCGGTCCCAGTTTGTACTATATTGTCCGGACATTGGGTAAATAAAGCAGACACTCAATAGGACAAGCCTTTGCAGCAAGGTTGACGCGGTCAGACTTTAGGTTGAATTTACTTTTACTAAAGGGTCAGAGGTGCGTGATTGAGTATTTGCAATCGGATTTCTGATTGAAAGCATATACAAGATTTTATGTGAAATTTACTGTAGTTTCTTATATCTTCTTAAAAAAAGAAGGCAACACGGTACATTTTATACCTTTATCTGAATAACAATGATTGATATATCCTAATAGGGAAAGAGGTGTATAAAATTTATATTTTGACAAAGCCAAAAGAACTGAGTTTTTGCCACAAACTTAAATCTTCTAATCCCTCTTCTTTGCAACCTGATGGTGTAAACCTTTGATATTTTAAACTTCGATAATTTGATCCAACAGAATTCTACAGTTTGAAATAGCAAAGGTCCATAACCACATCGGTTTCCAAAGATTTAGGGATTGAAAAAAAGAGATGGTTGAAAAAAAAACTCATTTCCTTAGGGTAAAAAAAGAAACAAATGTTTTGAAAAATGTCCATATATTATTATTTCGTTTTTATATATTATTTTTTTCCCGCAAAATTTATCATTGCAAAATTTTTTCCCCGACATTTTTTTCACGAAATTTCGCATTATTTTGGCTTTCTTTTGCCGCCATAAATGCGAAATTTCGCGCAAAATTTTGCGAAATACAAAAAAAATGCTTTTTTCACGAAAGTTTTTTTCGCTGGGAACCCTAATTAAAAGAAACGACGTCTCATTGTTGAAGTTGTCGGAACAACTTCTAAACGACATCATAACAATGATCTGGGACAATATATTCGAATTCAATTTTAAATAAAATATTCATTTATTTGAGATTTCTAACACTGAGTACTTGCAAAACAGTTAATTTTTTAAGATTTTGATATTGAAAAATTTTTTTTAACTTTATCTCATCAAAAATTGATAGCACAGTTAAATGATATTAATTTTTTAATTATGCATGTAAATCATATTTTTTGTTATAAAAGTAGCGCCATTTCTAGATCTTAAACCATTATAATAATAATAAATAATTAAAAAGAAATTAGAATAAAGAGAATTTATAAATTTATAAATAATAAGAATTTCAGAATTTTTAAAAACGAAAAAATTATAAATTTCTATTTTTGAAAATAAAAGAATCTAATAAACTTTATTACTTATAAGATACCCACATCATGAAATAAAGAGAAAAAAGTTTAAAATAATTTTAAAAATTAAAAAGTTTGAAAGTAAATTGAACTTAACAAATGAATTGGCCAAGAAAATAACTCTCTAAAACGAAGAATTTATCTACAGGGTGTGTCCCAATAAACATGGCAATTCAGTGACGAATTCGATATCGTCTTTGTCATGAATTAGCATTGAAATACCTAATTTCAAAAGCCATAATATTATTATGTCTACTAGAGTTTATTTTATGAAAACGGTAAATGGCTGTAAAGATGTGTCTATAATGTCTTCGCAAGATGAACAGTGAAGACGGACAAGTTTACTCTGTTTGTATACTGCAATTTTCTTATTTTACTAAGTACAACTGTATGCAGTCAAAACAGACAAACAAATTGTAAACATAGCAGACGAAAATTTTACGGATTACAACTTTCTCTTTAGGTATCACTATACTAAATCAAAGAATTATTTAAAAAGACAATATCGAATTCGTCACCGAATTGCCATGTTTATTGCTACACCGGCCTGTACTATATTAATATTCAACAAAATTAGATAGTTTATTTAATTTAATTATTTATAAAATTAAAGGAATTATACTTTATAGGCGTAATTTCTAATACAAAAGTTATGATTTCGATTTACAGTGGTATCTGATATCTGATATCTGATTTACAGTGGTATCTGATATCTGATATCTGATTTACAGTGGTATCTGATATCAGATATCTGATTTACAGTGGTATCTGATATCTGATATCTGATTTACAGTGGTATCTGATATCTGATATCTGATTTACAGTGGTATCTGATATCTGATATCTGATTTACAGTGGTATCTGTTATTTGATATCTGATTTACGGTGGTATCTGTTATCTGATATCTGATTTACAGTGGTATCTGTTATTTGATATCTGATTTACAGTGGTATGTCCTTTAAAATTTATCATGTCTCATTCGTCCACAATCATACAAAGGTTTAAAGGAACCGTTGTGAATTTGATATGCCACTAGTCCTGTCCATAGAGCTAGGTACAGTACATACTGGGATCGGAAAGGTTGACCCGGCTCGGAAATTCAAATGTACTACGGCTGCCCGTCTACAGTCCATGTACAGTGTACACAGCTAGCACAAAAAATATAAAAATGTACTCACTGATTCCATCGTAAATAGTGTTAAACTGTTTCTTTGCTGCCTTCCCTTCCCGTTCCAGCCAGGTCTCCTAGAAATTAGTTTTAAGTTGAGAAGATCGACTTTTAGAAAAATTGTTACTGTTACGACTGTGTGACCTTGTAGCGCCTCTAGTGTTGATTTTACGTAGAAATTTGAGAAAAGCAAATTCATCCGGATATATTTCAGAAATTAAACCCGTTTTTATCCATTACTCTTCACTTCAAGAAGTTAGGATTGAAAACATTTATGAAATCAATCTTACGTGAAATTTACTTTAGTTTGACGTGAGAAGCAAAAGTTGTAAAAATTCATGTTAATTGCGTTTTTTTCTCGATTTACCTGTATCTAATATAGTATGTACGGGCTAACAATAATCTTCTCAAAAAAAGATTTTGGAACATTTGGAAAAAATGAATTTTTATTAAAAATATTGCTTTTTAGTTAGAAATTCAAATAAATAATATGATTTAAACATATGACGTCATTGGTGGGTCTGAGGCTACATCTCTGGAACATTCTTTAACAATCCCACAACAAATTTTAGGGAGCGGTCAAACTCTCTTACTCGCGAATGCCGCAATAAATTATAAGAAGAGTGAGATTAGTATATATTTTAGGGTTAGGTTAGGTTAAGACACTTTGTGGGCCGCGCGCTGCAGCTAAGACAGGTTAGGGGTCTGAGCGCAGCGGCTAAGACAGGTTAGGGGGTCGAGCATCGCGACTAGAACTAACTGTCTCTTTATCTTATCATTCATTGCGGCATTCGCGAGTAACAGAGTTTGGCCGCTGCCCGAATTTTATTCTTAAAAATTATTTATCTCAATACTTCACAACTTGTTTTGAGAAATTAAAATAAAACTTGAGCGTACACAATTTTGAGGTTTATTTGGTTTTTGAGGTAGTGGTATTTTTTGCTTATCTTATTGGCTTAAAAAAAGGTATATATATATCTATGCATATCTAATACACACTAAACAGCGTGAAACTTCATTAAATGCAGACCTTTCTTACATTAACAAATATATATATAGTATATATATAATCTTATACCTATCACAGACATAAAAAACGAATATATGTATTATACAAACAAGCAAAAAAGGCAATTGGCTTGTTGAAAAGGCCCATAGTAATATTCCTTTCTTATAAAAGTATTGTTTCTTTACAACTCTTTTATACATCAATAGATTAAAATAATCATTTAACGCTTTCTAAAGAAAAAATTATTTTTCACCAAAAAAATAGTACATATACACACTACATTTTTTCAGCTTAAAACATGAACCTTTGAAAAAACTCCTTTTTTCCCCACAATTGTCAACCATTAACATTAAGACCCCCCCCCCTCTATGTAATGTCGTCTTCAACTTAAAAGCTCCTCTCGGAGACGAGAAACCAAACCAAACAATTTCAGCCCGCTTTTCTCTGTTCTCCGACAACGGAGTATAAACGTTTATTAATTGTGAACCATTTCAAAGTTAAACAAGAATATTTTCATTTAAAGAATTAGTGACCTTCATCAACATTTAATTGTTAATCTTTTCAGAAGTTTTAAAGTATAAAAAAAGCGTCTTAGGACTTTTCGACAGTTAACCCACAAATAAGCAAATAGATCGTAAGAATCTTTTCATTATAAATTTGTAAACCATTGTAATAATTATTTATCATTATTCATTTCATTTTTTTTTTAGGTTTTTAGGAAATAAAGAGTTTTCTGCATTATCGATTTTGATTTGAGGGTTATTCCTTGTCTATCTGTTCATCGTCAGAATCTTGTTCCTTAGCGACAACATTTCGATCTACCGGACGTGTCGAAAATTCAAGAAAGCCTCGAGATGAACCCAACCACTCCTCTCCATGAGGATACTCTCATCGACCTTCCTCCTGAAACCCCTCAGCAGGAAGCTCAAAGATGTACAAGAAACAATCCCTGCAGGATGCAAGGATGCATGATATGTCCCACACCAACCAACCACGTCCGTAACCTGGACGAGGAACTGAACATCGACGAATCCAACTCAACCCCCTCACCCCTTGCCGACCTCCCTCAACCCCCTCCAGATCACCTCATCTCGATGTTCACCCGCAGACTTAATACAGTAATCCAACGTAACAATGTAGAACTCTTGAAAAGCACCATCAAACTGCTCCAGAAACCGATCGAGTTGAACCTTGACTTCTGCATGTATGACTGCTCTGCCTTCGACACCGCCTGGGAGACCGCATCAGAGATCCTGACCTCACACGCGGCCATTGTTCCTGACCTTCCCCCTTCCCCTTCTCCTCAACATAACTTACAGCCTCATGCTAGTTTCAAACCTCCCAAGCTTGATACACCAACCTGGAGTGGCAAATTCTAGGACTTCTACCCCTGGTTATCAACCATCCTGAACGGGTTCAAGCTGACTCAAGCTGGAGACGTTGTTAAAGTGGCTCTCACTCTCCAAGCCATCC